CAATTAAAATGTACTGCAAAGCAGGAAAAGCATTGTCCAAAGAATTCTTAAAAATGACGTAATTTCTTGGATATGGTCAGTAAGCAACCTACTATCATGTTATGTTATCCTGATATAAAATCGCGAAATCGTCCGAAAATTTTACGCCGAAACGGCAAAAGGATTATCCAAAGAATTCTTGGAAAAGACGTCATTTTTCGGAATCGGTCGGCGAGCAACCTCCTTTCGTGTTATGTTATCCTAATACAAAATCGTGAAATCGTCCGAAAATTTTACGGCGAAGCAGCAACAGTATTGTCCGAGAATTCTTGGAAATGACGCCATTTCTTGGAACTGTCTCGGCGAACGACCTCCTATCATATCATGTTCTCCTGATACAAAGTGGCGAAATCGGTCAGAAATTTTTCCTCGAGGCCGCAAAAGTATTGTCCACTGAAGCGGCAAAAGTATTGTCCAGTTGCGGGGAAAGTATTGTCCATCGCGGCGGCAAAAGTATTGTCCATGTAGGCTGCAGAAGTATTGTCCGAGAATTCTTGGAAATGACGTCATTTCTTGGAACTGTCTCGGCGAACGACCTCCTATCATATCATGTTCTCCTGATACAAAGTGGCGAAATCGACCAAAGATTTTACGATGAGGCGGCAAAAGCATTGTTCGAGAATTCTTGGAAATGACGTCATTTCTTGGAACTGTCACGGCGGGCGACCTCCTATCATACTATGTTCTCCTGATACAAAATCGCGAAATCGGTCAGAAATTTTTCCTCGAGGCCGCAAAAGTATTGTCCACCGAAGCGGCAAATGTATTGTCCAGTTGCAGGGAAAGTATTGTCCATCGGGACGGCAAAAGTATTGTCCAGTTGCGGGGAAAGTATTGTCCATCGTGACGGCAAAAGTATTGCCCATTTGCGGGGAAAGTATTGTCCATCGTGACGGCAAAAGTATTGCCCATTTGCGGGGAAAGTATTGTCCATCGTGACGGCAAAAGTATTGTCCATGTAGGCTGCAGAAGTATTGTCCTCGGAATTGTTGGAAATGACATTTTTTGGAACTGTGTCGGCGAGCGCCCTCCTGTCATGTTATGTTCTCCTAATATAAAATCGCGTAATTAACAAATCGCATCATGTTAATGCAGCAAAATTTGTAAGCCCCGAATTCTTGGAATCCTATCTAACTTTTCCGAGCTATTTATGCCAGTGTAAATTAATAAATTTCTCAATTTCTGTAATTAACTCATTAACGTTTATAACTGCATCGCAAAGCTGCAACTTTGAGCAATATTCTTATGCCACTTTCGAGGATAATTTGATGTGAATCAGTTAGTTATTAATAATTATTTGAAGGCGTACGTGATTTCATAACAGCAACCGTCATGATCTTTCGAGAAAATATTAAATAAAATGAAATATTAAATAATCTGAACAAAACTATAAGTGGAGATGCCCAAAATTTCCGTTTTATAATGAGTACATAGAACTTATAAATTAATTGTATAAAAGGAAATAATTATTGTCAAACCATGAATGCCTTCAGTATCAGTTTGTCACCCTCTTAGCAATAATTATTACTAATTAATTAATTAAAAAAGAATTAATTTGTTCAGAATTGCCAAAGAGACCAAATGCATAAAAGAAATAAGTACGTAGAATTATCTTCCTATCGGAATGAAATCAATAGTAACTTTTGATACAACTATAAATTTTCAATATTTTATGCATGAGACCACTTTGATAATTGGAGTATTCAATTAAATCAAACTCTTGATACAAAGAATATACTGTATCATTTATTTAACTATACTATACAAAACAAAACTTAATCTGTAATATTCATTATGCAATTCTTGCAGGGTTTACTTTCCTTGAAACAATATCTGCAAACAAAATTGCTCTATTACTGACAGTTTTCGAAAAATATTAGTTTCTCCAAAAACGTGCAATCTATATGTGAGATCTTTCTCCTACTTACATTCCATATGCAATTGTATTCATTGCTTCTGCAGAACTTTTATTCTGCAGATGAGCTACCAAATACACAGCTTCCACTCACAATTTCTTTTCCAATCCACTCATACAGGAGTACTCTTGTGTTATCCAATACTGTTCGATTAAATCTTTCCACTCAGTTGAGGTGGTTACAGTGTCGTATAATCCAATATAATTACTTTCTGTTTGCACCAATTCTTGCATTCTAGACTGATAAACACACCTCCCTCCATTATAGCATCTAAGTCTGTGTGTTATTCCACTTTGCTTCTGCTGCTGCAACATAATTAAACAATCTCTGTAATGTTTCAGCATATATCACAAAATTAGTAAAATCTAAAAATGTCATTGCATACCTATTCCTGTTCCATGTCTCTGGCTCTCTAGGCCCTCATATATCAAAGTGTATAATTCCAAGCTGCCTTTTTGCCCGTGTTCTCATCCCCCAAATGGTGTCCTCAATTGTTTTGCATAAAAAAAGTATCCTGCATTCTCCATTTCTTGCTTTCAGTACTCTTTCTGTTAATTTTAATAACAGAAAGAGTATAACCCAATTTTCTGTGCCACTCTACCAGCTTTTTGTTTCTCTCTACTAGTATAAAGTCCAATATTACACATATTCTGTACAAATATTTCTTCTTCATTTTCATGAACGGTTACTTCATATTTTTTGGACATTACTCCACTACCATCTCTAGTTATCAGATTTACTGACCATAAATTCAATATCAAGTGTGGAACACAAACAATATTCAAGTATCTGGCTCTATTCTAAATTTCACTTTAGCTTCAATGGAAATATTTCTTTACACTGATCCAAATTCCACTCCTATTTCTTCCTATTTGTTAAAATATTCTAGTTTATTAACCATATGGCTCGTTCTTCTGCAATCCACAATCCATTATTCTGTTCCATCGTTCTCTGTCAAAAAGCATGTGTTCTGTTTTTTATTTTGATCTCCTTTTCTTTCCTTTATGTTTTCAAAATAACAGTCCAAATGATTTTTTTCAAATAATTGGACTTCTTACATGTACCACATGGAGATTATACTTCTTAAGCCTCGTCCTTTCTTCTTAATCCTAGAAATTTTACTGATTTTTATTCTAATCTGCCACAACTGTAACATTTAATTTCTTTGTTACCTTTGTTGTTTTTTCAACATGCACATGCAAGATGTCTAATGGAATTGTACTTGAAACATCACTTCTCTTGAGGTTTGAAGGTGACAGACCTGCTTCTCCCCTGGCTTCCTTTGCAATCAGTTCAGTTTTGAAATTATCTATTGCCTTTTCTTCTTTATGCATTTACTCCCACGCATTTGCAAATACACCTCCTAGAAACATATATAAGATTTTAGTTATAAGCATTGCTTTCTCTATCTTCCTCCCTAATGCATGTAATTTGAAAACTTACCTCTCTGACATGCAATGTGAGTTATAATATCACGTTCAAATTTATATTTATACGTGAAAAATTCCTCTATAACGGAATATCTTTGCTGTCTTTATCCTCCTCATAGATATTGCTGAATTTCACCCATATTTCGATTCCTCCCCTCTCGTTGAAATTATCAGATTTTGTACCTATGCATTGTTTGTTAACCAATCATGTTTGTACTTTTCTATATGTCTTGGTTCTTTCATTGTATGTTCATACAAACCTTGAGATTATAGCATGAAGACCACTGTAAATTTTCAAATATAATATCCATCTTGATCTTATCATCTATTAATACTTCCAATTTCCTTCTCGAATTTTGTTTTCCGCACTCAAACACGTGGCCAACATTCTGTTGGCAGCACATAAACTGTTGAATTATTCTTTTGCTCAGACATGGTTAACCAACACACATTCCTCTTTACATGTACCGAATAATTCTAATCAATATCACAGTGGACGATCGAGTTCTGGCATATGCAATCGATGACACTTGACTATTCTGTTCTATTATGATTCACACTTACACTCATTCATGTTGCACATGTATCAGTAGACGATTTGCACTATGTTACTTCACTTTTTTCTACATGTATTATATTACCACCGAACAAATGTTCATAGTCATTTATCCTGGTTTTGGTAAAATTCTCTTGATTTCTTAAACTTTTGTTGTAGTCCTTTCGTAAATATCACGAAGATGTTACTAAAGTTGTTCAATGTTCCGAAGAATAACTGATACTGCGCTTTATCGTTGTTGAATATTAATTTCGTCAGTGCAGTAATTAAAACACTAATCAATGATGGCACTACTTTACGAAACGTATTGTTCCGACACTGAAACTTTTACTTTCACGCGCGTAAACATTTGTCCATGTGTTACCGGCATGATGGATTGGCATCGACTAGAAGTGGGCTGCGATTGGACAGACTATGCTTGTTTTCGCGGGAAGATGTTTCTTGTCTGAGATAGCCATGTACTAAAGTATCGATGTAGAATATCAGACGGTCTTATATTTATTAATAACAATGTTGCAAATTCAAATATGTTTCTGTTATGAAAATAATAAATTAAGAAGTACTTATTTTCCACTATAGAAAACTTATAAATTAATGAAATTAATTATTAAATTAATTATAAAAATATATTGAATAGTATTATATAATATATTCATGTGTTAGTTACAAAATTTGATACATGAGCAGTATGACCATTTTTATGTGTCATGTAATTCATGAATTAATTGCATAGAAGTTAGTAATTAATGGAAAGCCAATAGCATCTTTGGTATGAGTTCATGTCCTCTGTGCAATAATTATTAATAATTAATTTATTAAGGAAAAATTTATAAATGCACAAATTATTGTAAATATATATTTGCTTCCGAAAATAGTTAGTTTACATTTCATTCAGATATTAATTATACATACTTATACATACTTATTTATTTTATGCTTTTGACCTTTTTACTAATTCTAGTGTTAAACTGAATCATATTCTTCAGTAATACAAAGATTATGCTGTATCATTTATTCAATTACATTGTCAATACAAATCTTAATCAATAATATTCAGTGGGTAATTCTTGCACAGTTTAATTTCCTTGAAACAGACCTGCAAACAAAGTTGCTCTATTACTTTCAGATGTCGAAGAATATTAGTTTCTCAAAAAATGTGTAATTCATATGTAAGATCTTTCTCCTACTCACTTTCTATACACAGTTGTATTCACTCCTGTTGCAGAACCTTTATTCTGTAGATAATTTGCAAAATACACAGCTTACATCCACAATTTCTTCTCTATTTCAATCGTACAGGAGTGCTCGTATTTTATTCAGTAATATTTGATTAAGCCTTTCCATTCAGTTGAGGTGTATACAGTGTCGTATAATCCTGTATAATTACTTTCTGTCTGCACCAATTCTTGAATTCTCCGCTGGTAAACTCCTTTTTCCGTTATTGCATTTAAATCTGTATGTTATTCCACTTTGCTTCTGCTGCTGCAACACAATTAAACAATCTCTATAATGCTTCAGTATATGATACCATAAAATATATCATCACGAAATTAGTAAAATCTAAGACTGTCATTGCATACCTATTTCTGTTACATGTCTCTGGCTCTCTAGGTCCACATATATCAGAATGTATAATTTCAAGCTGCCTTTTGCCCTTGTTCTTGGCTCTAGAAACAGCATCTTCAATTACTTTGCATAGAAAAAGTATCCTGCATTCTCCAATTTTTGCCTTTTGTATTTTTTTCCTTACTTTTATTCCCAATGTTTTCTTGGGCAACTCTCTCGTGTTTTCTATATTTAGATGGTCCAATTTTCTGTATTACTACCAGCTTCTTGTTCCTCCCAAATAATAATGTTCTAGTCTGTATTTTTCCTTCTAATTCGTCCACACCATAAAGTCCATTAATACACATCTTCTCTACTAATATTTCTTTTTTCTTCTTATAAACTATTAGATTATGTTTCAAGAACATTATTTTACCACCCTTAGAATTATCTTACCACCCTTTTGAGTTATCAGATGTATTGATATTAAATTCTGTCTCAAGTTTGAAACATACAGAACATTTTTAAATATATAGCTATCTAACTCAACTCTACCTTTTGCTATAGTTTCCATGAAAATGTTTCCTTTTGCTCATTCAATTTCTGTTCTTATTGTTTCTTATTCCTTAAAATATTCTAACTTCTTCACCATATGGCTGATTGTTCTTGAGTCCAAAATCCATTGTTTTGTTCCATTGTTCTCTGTCAAGAAGCACACTTTCTTCTTTTCTTCTTGATCTCCTTTACTTTGCTTCATGTTTTTAAAATAACAGTCTTTTTCCAAATGATTAGATTTCTTACATGTCCCACACGGAGAGCACACTTCTTGAGTCTCGTCTATTCTTTCTAATTCTAGAAATTTTTCTGATTTTTATCCTAATTTTAATTCACAACTAAAGTATTTAATTTCTTTGTTACCTTTTTTGTTTTTCCAACATTTGAAGCACCTCTTCTCTTGAGCTTTGCAGGCTATAGATCATTTTGATGATCTTGCTTTCTTGACAATCACCTGAGTTGTGAGATTATCTATTTTCCTTTCTCCTTTTTGCATTAATCCCACACAGTTGCAAATACACGATCTAACAATGTACATAAGATTTTAGTTATGAACATTGTTTAATCTATTTTACGTCCTAATGAATGTAATTTGAAAACTTACCTGTCAGCCACGCAGTGTGGGTTACTATATCATGTTCTGTTGTTTTGTATCCTTCTCACAGATATTGCTCAATTTTACCCATATCTCATAACTTGACGTACCGATTGGTACATCAAGTAATAATACCTTCCCTATGATTGAAACTATCAAGTTTTGTAATTACACATTTTTAACCAATCTTAATTGCAATCTCCTACATTTCTTAGTTCCTTCATTATATGTCAATACAAACCTTAAAATCATAGCGTGTAGACCACTCTAAATTTTCAAATATGATATCCATCTTGATCCTTTCATCTATTGATACTTTCAATTTTCTTCTCGAATTTTGTTTTCCGCACTCAAACATGTGGCCTACATTCTGTTGGCAGTCCATAACCTGTTGATTTATTTTTTAACTTAAAACATGCACAACCCACACACATTCCACCGTATATTACTCACTCGAGGTGTCCTTTTGTTTTCACCGCTGCCACAATCTCATGTCATTCTCTCCAGTTATAGATTAATTCGCCGTTTACAGTCGAAAATATCCATTACACAATTGCCGTCCAATAATAACATGTATCGGGAGCATATAACCAAAGTTAGTAACCGTTTCACATTCAAGCGCCTTCGATCAGCGCCATCTATGAGTTTGGACTGGAACCTTGAACCTTTGTTGTTTGAATTTTCATTCGGTACTAGAAAATTAACAAGTTACTCAATTTCTGCGATTAATTTATGAACTTTTATAATTTCATCGCAAAGGCGAAGCCTTGGCGAACGTTCTAATATAACTTTTGCTATAAATTTGTCCCTAATTAATTAATTATTAATTATTATTCTACGGAGTGTTTGAATTGTTGTCGAAGACGCCATTGGTTTTTCATTAATTACTATCCTTTACGCAATTAATTTGTGAAACTTTATGCACTCATTAGAAAAACAATGTTCTTGCGAATCTTCTCATATCACTTTTGTTCACATTTTGATTCTAGTTTCGTTTAGTATTAAATATTTTCACGAAAGATCGTAATGGTCGCCGTTACAAAATCATAGACGCCATCAAACAAAAATTAATAACTAACAATTTAGAGTTAAATTGTTTACGAATATTATATGAGAATGTAGCCTGAAGTTCCAGCTTTGCAATGAAGTTATGAAAGTTCACAAATTAATTACAAAAATTGAGTAATTAATAATTTTTCCCTACCGGAGCCATTCTATCCTTTTCTATCCCCACGCTGTCCTTGTCTGTCACGTGACCAACACATCGACGACCTCCTTGCCTATTCTATATTCCTATCACTTTCTTGATTTTTGAGCCCAAATCATAGATGGCGCTGATCGAAGGCGCTTGAATTTGAATCGATCATTATCCTAATAAATTAATTCGACAGTGGAAACTTAACAAATCCTGAGTTTCAGTAATTAATTCATGAATTTCTATAGTTGCATCGCAAAGTTGAAACTACAGGCAACATTCTTTTGCGATTTTCGAGAATAATTGGATGCTAATTAATTTGTTATTCATAATTAATTGAAGGCGTACGTGATTTCGTACCAACAACCGTCATAATCTTTTGATAAAATGTTAAATAATGGACAAAACTAGAACTACAATGTTAACAAAAATGTAAGAGATGCTGCATAATTGTTGATTGCATAAAAGATAATAATTATTGGCAAACTATCAGTACCTTCGATATTAGTTCACACCCCCTGAGCAATAATTATTATAAATTAATTAATTAAAAAGGAATTAATTTGTCCAGAATTACGAAAGGCATGAAATGCATAAAAGAAACAAGTATGTATAATTATCTTCCTACCTGAATGAAATCCATACTCATTTTTGCCAGAAGTAAATATAAATTTACAATATTTTATGCATTAGACCACTTTAGTAATTCTAATATTGAAATGAGCTAAACTCTTGCTACAAAGATTATGTTGTATCATTTATTTAACTATATTGTACAAAACAAAACTTAATCTGTAATATTCATTTTATAATTCTTGCAGAGTTTACTTTCCTTGAAATGAATCTGCAAACAAAATTGCTCTATTACTCACATATTTAGAAAAATATTAGTTTCTGCGAAAACGTGATTTATATGTGAGATCATTCTCCTACTCACTTTCCATATGCAGTTGTATTCATTGCTTTCGCAGAACTTCTATTTTGCACATAAGCTGCAAAATACACAGCTTCTACCCACAATTTCTTTTCCATTCCAGTCACAAAGGAGTGCTCGTGTTTTATTCAGTAATATTCGATTAAGCCCTTCCATTCAGTTGAGGTGTATACAGTGTCGTATAATCCAGTATAATTACTTTCTGTCTGTACCAATTCTTGAATTCTCGACTGGTAGACTTTCCTGCTTCCATTATCGCATCTAAGTCTGTGTTCCACTTTACTTCCGCTGCTGCAACATACTTTTACAATCTCTGTAATGCTAAGTATTTGATTCCATAAGAAAAATCCTCACAAAATTAGTAAAATCTAAGACTATCATCACATACCTATTTCTGTTCCATGTCTCTAGTTCTATAGGCCCGCACATATATCGGAATGATTTTTGCCAAATAATTGGACTTCTTACATGTACCACATGGAGAGTATACTTCTTAAGCCTCGTCCTTTCTTCATAATCCTAGAAATTTTACTGACTTTTATTCTAATCTGCTACAACTGTAACACTTAATTTCTTTGTTACCTTTGTTGTTTTTTCAACATGCACATGCAAGATGTCTAATGGAATTGTACTTGAAACATCTCTTCTCTTGAGGTTTGATGGCTACAGACCTCCTTTTCCCCTTCCTTCCTTTGCAATCAGTTCAGTTTTGAGATTATCTATTCCCTTTTCTTATTTCTGCATTACAATTACAAGGCATTTGCAAATACACGTTCATAAAACATACATAAGGTTTTAGTTATAAGCATTCTTTTTTCTATCTTACTGAACAATGCATGTAATTTGAAAACTTACCGGTCTGACACACAATGTGGATTATAATATCACGTTCAAATTTATATTTATACATGAAAAATTCCTTTGTAACGGAATATCTTTGCTCTTCTTATCCTTATCATAGATATTGCTGAATTTTACCCATATTTCGTGACTTCATGTACATGTTGGTACATCAATTAATAATATCTCCCCACTGGTTGAAACTATCAGATTTTGTACCTACACAATGTTTGTTAACCAATCGTGTTTGTACTTTTCTATATTTCTTGGTCCTTTCATTACACGTTCATATAAACCTTGAGATTACAGCATGATGATCACTATAAATTTCTAAAGTTGATATCCATCTTGACCCTTTCATCCATTGACACTTCCAATTTCCTTCTCGAATTTTGTTCTACGCATTCAAATACGTGGCCTACATTCTGTTGGCATTACATAACCAGTTGATTTATTCTTTTGCTCAGACATGCACATTCCACACATGTTCCTCCTTATATTACTCACCCAAAGTCTAAATTCTTAATCCATCATAAGTTCCCTTGTCATCTCTATGTTGAATTTGTTCTTCCTCTCAGCAACTCCATTACACTGTGGTATCTTGGTTGGAATCAAATCATGTTTTATTTCCTTTTGATGTAACGAAACCTGGAAGTATTGTTCCATAAACTCACCTCCATTGCCTGAGCACATGAGTACTTTTTAACTTCTTGACAGATGGGTTTTCTTTTAATGCCGCCAATTTTTTTATTTCCTCAGCTGTCTGACCCTTTTCCTGTACATACAAAACAATAATCACTCGAATAATCATAAGCAGTCAAGACGTACCTTTTATCTCCTTTTGTAATTGGTTTTATTGGCCCAATCAAGTCCATGTACCACATACCCATTAATATTGCTGCTTTTATTATTTCCAAGTTTCTGTAGATATTTCTCCAGATTTTTGCCTAACTGCAACATTTAAACTCTATATTGAATTTATCCTTACTTTTCATAACTATTACTAATTATTCATTTTCCATCTTTTCAATGATCCTTATATTTGCATAACTTACAATTAGTCATCGATGCTACACACCTTTCTTTGTTGACACGTATGCCTCCATGTTTGTTTTCTGAACCACATAATATGCATTTACCCGTCTCAATGCTTTCAATTGAACTTCTCCATTTTCATTACATACTTCAACTGCATCTTTCTGAAACTTAACACATTAATGATGGTCATTGACGTTGACCACAGATATCAATATTTATACAGAAGAGGAACACAACATACCTTTCAATCTCACTGTATTCTCTGTATCTCTGTATCTGTCAAACCCATCTTCCTCTCTCAATCATTATTTCACCATCAAATATATCTGTTCTGCAGGACATATGGACAGTTGACCTAGAACCAAAAGACATATTATAACTTACATATTTATATTACTGCATCAATCTTTGCTTGCCATAAAAAATAATTCCTACCATATTTTTATCCTACTGCACATGCCCGCATATTTAAACAGAATACTCTCCTTACAGAAGCAGGATTTGCTACCACTATTAAAAAATAGAAAAAGAATGGCTTATATCTTACTTATTCACATACAACTACTTATTCATTTACAACTGAAGGTTATGATAAAACAAAGACTTACATTCTTTCGCATGATGCAGACACACCTCCATGGGCACAAAAATGCTTCCGACGTTTCTCTGCAAATTTTTCCGCATATCCGGAAAAAGATCGGCCATCTAATTAGGGAACGATCTGTTCTATCGAGTGATAGTCAAGAAACTTGATCAAAAAACGAAGTTTCGAGAATCTAAGCCACGACAGATAACGTCGCAGTACGACCTGTCGCAAGCGTCCACTTTCGGCACAGTATTTAGAAAAGAAAAGGCGAAAATCGTAAAGAAATCACTGATTCTATTAGAGAAGAGCCCGTTCTATCGAATGATAATGAAAAATTAAAATCAAAAACGGAAGCTTCAAAGAACTAAACCACGAGATGTAACGTCGCAGTACGACCTGCCACGCCCTTCCACATTCAGCACTGTATTTAGAAAAAAAAACGACGAAAATCGAATAAAAACCACTGATTCTATTAGAAAAGAGCCCGTTCTATCGAGTGATAATGGAAAATCAAAATCAGAAATAAAAGTTTCAAAGAACTAAGCCACGAGAGATAACGTTGCACCACGACCTGTCACGCACTTACACATTCGGCACTGTATTTAGGAAAAGAATGGCGAAAATCGAAAAAAAACCACTGATTCTATTAGAGAAGAGCCCGTTCTATCGAGTGACAATGAAAAATTAAAATCGAAAACAGAAGTTTCAAAGAACTAAGCCACGAGAGATAACGTTGCACCACGACCTGTCACGCACTTACACATTCGGCACTGTATTTAGGAAAAGAATGGCGAAAATCGAAAAAAAAACACTGATTCTATTAGAGAAGAGCCCGTTCTATCGAGTGACAATGAAAAATTAAAATAGAAAACAGAAGTTTCAAAGAACTAAGCCACGAGAGATAACGTTGCACCACGACCTGTCACGCACTTACACATTCGGCGCTATATTTAGAAAAAAAAACGACGAGGATCGATAAAAAAAACCACTGATTCTATTAGAGAAAAGCCCGTTCTATCGAGTAATAATGAAAAATTAAAATCATAAATAGAAGTTTCAAAGAACTAAGCCCCGAAAGATAACGACGCACCACAATCTGTCATGCATTTACACATTCGGCACTGTATTTAGAAAAAAAACGACGAAGATCGATAAAAACCACTGATTCTATTAGAGAAGAGCCCGTTCTATCGAGTAATAATGAAAAATTAAAATCAAAAATAGAAGTTTCAAAGAACTAAGCTACGAGAGATAACGACGCAGTACGACCTGCCACGCCCTTCCACTTTCGGCACTCTATTTCGAAAGATAACGGCGAAAATAGAGAAAAGGTAGATCTGTTAATCAAAGTAGAGCCTACGGTGATGAGTCATAACAAAATATTCTAATGCGGGGCAGGAATTTCATACATCTAAGCGAAGATAGGTAAGGGGATAATTCGATTTTACACGCACTCGCACTTCCATCACTACACGCGAGAATGAATGGTCCAAATCGGAAAGAAATGGGCCTACTGATCAGGAAACATTCTATTCTAACGAGTGATATCGTAATATCGCAATGCAAGATCGAAATTTCTAGTATCTAAACAATAACGATACACGTAACAACACATCACAATTTGATACACACTTGCACTTGCTTCATTTTATTTCACATATGTACCGGCGAAATCGAAGAAAGAATAGGAGAACTGTTAAGAAATTGCCTGTGCCGAGTAATGCTAACCAATATCCCAATGGACGATCGAGTTTAGGAATCTACAATCAATGACACGTGACTATTCTGTTCTATTATATGATTCGCACTTACACTAATCAGGTCGCACATGTATCGGTAGACCATTTGCACTATGTAACTTCACTGTTTTCCACATGTGGTATATTGTAGTTAGTTATCATGTTTCTTGGTAAACTCTCAATTTCTTAAGCGTCTGTTGTGGTCCTTTCGTAAATATCACGAAGATATTGTAAAAATTGTTCAATGATCCGAAATAATAACGGATACCGCGTATTATTGTAGTTGAATATTTATTTCGTCAATTGCAGTAATTAAAACACGAGCAATAATGACACTACTTCATGAAATGTTTTGTTCTGACATTGAAAGTTTCACTTTAACGCAAGTAAATATTCCACCACGTGTTACCGACATGTTGTATTCGCGTCGACTAAAAGTGGGCTGCGGTTGGATAGGCTATGCTTGTTTTCGCGGGAAGATGCTTCGTGTTTGAGATAGTCATGTACTAAAGCATCGATGTAGAATATCAAACGATGTGTTATATTTATTAATAAAAATGATGCAAATGCAAATATGTTTCTGTTATGCAAATAATAAATTAAAAAATACTTATTTTCCACTACAGAAAGCTATGGCACTTTTATATTCTTTCTATAATGTGTGCTTGTAATTCATGAATTAATTGCATAGAAGTTAGTAATTAATGGAAAACCAATTGCATCTTCGGTATGAGTTCATGTCCTCTGTGCAATAATTATTAATAATTAATTAATTAAGGAAAAATTTATAAATGTATAAATTATTGTAAATATATATTTGCTTCTGACAGTAATTAGTTTACATTTCATTCAGATAGGAAGGTAATTATACATACTCATTTAATTTATGTTTTTGATCTTTTTAGTAATTCTAGTGTTAAACTGAACCATATTCTTCACTAGTACAAAGATTGTGCTGTATTATTTATTCAAGTACACTGGCAATATAAATCTCAATCTGGAACATTCATTGGGTAATTATTGCACAGTTTACTTTCCTTAAAATGAATCTGAAAACAAAATTGCTCTATCACTCTCAGATTTTTAAGAATATTAGTTTCTCCAAAAATGCATAATTTATATGTGAGATCTTTCTCCTACTCACTTTTCATATGCAGTTGTATTCATTGCTTCTGCAGAACTTTTATTCTGCAGATGAGCTACCAAATACACAGCTTCCACTCACAATTTCTTTTCCAATCCACTCATACAGGAGTACTCTTGTGTTATCCAATACTGTTCGATTAAATCTTTCCACTCATTTGAGGTGTTTACAGTGTCGTATAATCCAATATAATTACTTTCTGTCTGCACCAATTCTTGTATTCTAGACTGATAAACACACCTCCCTCCATTATAGCATCTAAGTCTGTGTGTTATTCCACTTTGCTTCTGCTGCTGCAACATAATTAAACAATCTCTGTAATGCTCCAATATATGATTCCATAAAATACATCA